ACACGACCACAAGCACGGCCACCACGAAGATCATAAGCATCATCATCACCAGGACCATCATCACAAGCATGGCCACGACCACAAGCATAACCACCATGAAGAGCATCATCACGGCCATCACGAGCACCACAAGCATGACCATCACGAGGACCATCACCACAAGCACGGCCATGAACATAAACACGGTCACAAAGAAGATCATCATCACGGTCATCACGAGGACCATCATCATGGTCATCATGAAGACCATAAACACCACCATCACGAGTCCCACAAGCATGGCCACCACCATAAGGAAGACCACAAGCACGGCCACGACCATAAGCATCATCATGATCATCACGAGCATCATAAACACCACGAGGACCATAAGCATCACGAGGGACACGAACATAAACATCATCACAAGCATCACGAAGGCCATAAGCATCACGAGGATCACCATCATAAGCACGGACATGACCATCACGATAAGCACCACGAGGACCATCATCATCATGAGTTCGAAAGCCACGGGCACGGGCATTTCAAAAGCTTCGGCCATCATTTCGAATCCCCGCCCGCTCACGAAGAATATATACTCTCGGAAGAAAGCGCGGCGATTTCAGTGACGCCGCCCATAGAAGACGTTCTAAAGATCACGAAATCACCGGCAGCGAGGGAGCCCGTGGAACGCACGGAGATTGTGCAAGTTTAATGCATGAATCATAACGTGAACAACGACAGGGTTAGAAGCAGAACGTGTAAAATAAGTTACTTACAAACTATATACGAGTACGTCAACGAGAATGAAAAGAAAATATTTAGCGGCGCAGAATAAAAGATTTCACGTACTTAAACTTTGGAGCGTTGAATTTCCTGCTATATTCTATGTGAAAGCGCAAATTGTTTTAATCGAAAACATTTTGTTATGTATCATATTGGTTTCTCCTGATTCACCAATTTTTGAAAACATATTGAAACAAGTTGAACAATGGTTGGCATTCTTTCAGATCACTTTTTTAAGGATTCTTTGTTCATATTCTATGTATTCGTTAATAAAGAAATAACTGTCAAATTTGTTAAAACAGCATTAACTGGAGAAAAAAACAGAGATAAAGAGACATGTGAAAAGAAGTAAATCACATTTAATGATACGTTAAATTTATAACCTTTTAAGTGCTCCACCGGCTTTTTTAATTTATTATACGACGAAATATGGTCATTTATTTTCAAGCTAAACAGATACGTCGCATTAATTTTGTGTTAGCACTTTACTTGAATTCGATATTTTCGAAGAAATGTAATTTGTACTGCTTTTAAGCTAAACATATAACCGACAAGAGTGTTACGTTTACGTTTTACATTAAAATTCTGTATTCTTTAACCCTGTCGTAGGAAACCATTCAACTGGATACTGTTCTATATTACCCGCTTTGTATTTTCTCGACGATGGCGTCGTTCGAGAAAACGATTACGGCTCGATCGTGGCGCAGGCTCGCAGGTATCCCGTTAAGCGTTGTTTCTCGTTAGTCAGACATTACTCGAGCGTTGTTGACACCTTTGAAATATAAAGTTTTCACCACTTTACGATCCTTTCATTTTTCCACCACCCTGGCCTCTTGGTATAAAGCCCGAGGTAAACGACGGCTCGTTTTTCCACGCAAGAGAGACAATATTTAAGGTTTATGGCAAAGAGCGCATTTTTATGCTGTTGCAAGAAATTTTATCTGCGAGAATATAAACAAACAATGGGGGGAAAGAGTTAGACTGAGGTGCAAACATGTTAATTGCCTCGAAATGATCGTCGCGTTAATATTGGAAAAGTTCGACCAAGCTGCGGCAGAAAACTCCACGCAAATATATAAATCTAATTTAGAAGACGATCCGAAAGTTAACTTCCAATGTAATTCCGTAGGTAGAGCGAGGGTCGTGATCGTAATTCTTCGACTTAAGAATAATTTATAGACGGTACTAATTTCTCCCGGCAAGCTGCGATTCACGAAAGCAATTTCTTAGAAGCGTGGGTTAGGACATGTGTACAATGGGAAGGATCCTTCGATACGCCGGGAGCGATGCACCTATCTCGCGTGCTGGGTAATGGATCGATTATTCAGAGAGAATCGATTTAGCTTTAGGCGCGAGCACGCGTAATCCGTTAATGCCGTCAAGGATCTTCCGCGACGTTGTAACTCGTTCGACGACAACTTGTCAACGTTGGACGTTACAAACCCTACTTTCAATTTACTATATTGATCGAGACTTTCCGAGGACGCAGTAGAATCGAGAAACGATACAGATCGAACAATGGTGACTCTGGATAAGCGTCATTTCCGGAAGATCCGAAAGAGGGGAAAAAAGAAAACACTTTAGAAATCTTCGGAAAGCATCTCCCCGTCGGAGAATCTTTCCGCACGATAAGAAAATCGAGGCAGACGAGAGATCTATGGGCGGGGATGAGAGGCAGAAAGGAGATGGGACGATAAATCCCGTTTGTGAATTGAATTGACGCCTCTATATCGTTCACGGCGCGCTTCGCTATAAAGGTGTTGCCCGTACTTTAAGATTAAAACGACAGATATGTCCGTCTCTGATAGCGCGATAAATTCCCGAAAAACAACTAACCAATTCGAATTTCAAACGCTCCCGCAATTGGTATGTTATATTAAATATATTAAATACGGACATACAGAATTGATAAGAAAAAATTTTTCTAAATAAGAGCGCATGAAGAACGATATTCCGAACGTACGTCACTTTGAAAAAGGCAGCAAAGTAAAAAAGCAGATGTCTGTCCATCAGTAAATCGTCTTTTAGCGTGCTAAGTGGATCAAAGAGCGAAATGATTCAAGGCTAAGAGAACGACAGACCGATACGGTAAGAGAACAAAAGGAAATAAATTGTATCTGTGAATGGAATTATCAGTCCCATCTTCCTCCGCCGCTCTGCGTAACTTTGTACCGAAATGCTCTACGCCTTTGACCCTAGCCTCATGACTACAGACACAAAAATAGGATGATAATCAGAAATTATACAATTCAACATTTCTTTTTTACCTCGGAGTCGATCCTTCGCGAGAGTTTAAAATTTAAATTGTACGTTTTAAAGCGGTAAATTACTTGGGAGCTACTTTGAAGTTTCGAGCGAGGAGCCAATGGGACATTTCGGAATGCTCGTCCATCAGGAAATTGTCTCTTTGTTGAACGTGGGAATCAGGAGAAAGACAAAGAGAGGCGCGAGAGACAAAATGAGGATACGCGAGACGAGTGAGCGGGCGAAGATAAATCCTGTTTGCGGATTGAATGGCTTGCCTCGACGTCCCCATCGTGCTCAACTTTGACCTAGAGCAACTTCCGTCTTTCCACAACCGCAAACTTGTTACCGTAATGTGCCTGTAAGTCGGTCTCACCAGCAGTTCCCGGTAGTTAATTAATTAATACAATTAAGTGGCGACGGTTTTCGATATAAAGTTGTTTTCGAATAGCGAGCAAAATATGTCGCCAGGACGCGGGTATAACAATAGGTACTCTAAGAAAGTGTCGCTGCAAAAGGCGATAAGGACAACGCCGGAGTAATTGCGAGTTGTCCCTCCATTAGCGAATTATCCCGTCGTCGCGCGAGGAAAACAACCAAGGAACTGAATGCAACAATACGATAGGAAAGCGGAAGACTACGTGTTTTCGCGAGTTGGAACGTTGGTCACATCGTTGCCGATGCAATTGTTCCGCAGTCGCGCCGGCTGCGAGATAAGGAAACTAACGACAATGACCATCCAATCAAGGAAGAGTGCAAGCGCGTCCGTATAAAGTATGCCCCTAGATAATAGAGGAGTAAGTGCTATTGTTTATTCCCGGTGCGATAATCGAAACTAAGAGTTTTCTTTAAAAATTGCGAGAAGCGCGCGCCGATCAACCTGTTTGAGGGTGATATCCGTAACTTGATTGTAAACGTTAATTTTCTAATGCTAAGCGAACTAACTCGGTCCCTCCCCCTCCCCCCGTTCTCCCCTCGATAAACCTGTTAATATAATGCAACTACGGTTTAGCGATACAACGCGTAAGTAAGTAATAAAATTATACGAAACTCCGTGGTTAGTTTGCAGCACCGAGATCGTGCTCGATTTACACCTGCACGCAAGCTGCAAATTACTTCCATTACGCAATCTGTGCTGATCGCAAAGTTCCACCGAGATTCCCGATGCTTTTCTATTGTTTCGCTAGCCTCTCTTATAAAAAAATATCGCATCACACAAACGTGATCGTTTGATAAATTACTTTAATTTAATTTGTCGCCGAGACTCGTAAGCTATTTTTCCAAACTACTTTGTAACTAATAAAATTTTTCGCATTGATTATATTTTCAAGCTAGAAACGACCTGCTGATTTAAAAACTTTCTACGTTATTAACACAGAGTGAAGATGCGTCTTGAGAAAGTAGAAAAGAAATACCTTTTATGCGAATAGAACTGCGTTTGCGTATTCATAAGTTTCAATAATAATTGTTAATGAGGATGGAGTTTATGTTTCAGTAACATTAATTACGTTGGGCCGCTTACTCGGGAGTACTTTCAGCCGGCTGCTATTTTAATACGCTTTTATTTTAACGAGCCAAGTATTTTATTCATTGACGCAAGCTCTGCTAATGAGGACGGTAATCAACAAAAGCAGCGGGTATTAATATTTCTGTCAGTCTTACGAAATAAAACTGCGAGTTCCCAACTCACGAGAGGCGGATAGCGAGATAGTTACAAGCCGAAAATCTATTCTCAGCACCGCCGTCAGAAATTTTCCACGGGAATTTATCGCGTTTTCAGAAATTTGTCTGCATTTTCAATAAAATGGCTCACGAGATACGCAACGAAAATATTATTTATGCTCGAGTTCTCCGGTGTCGAGGTACCGCGGGTGATCCATCAGATCGCAAATATTCTCGCTGGGAAAATGGCCGGCATCGCAATCACGAAAGCTCCGCCAGAGCACGAAGACGTCGGCAGGGGCTCGTTCCAACGTGGAAAGTTATCGGTATCTATCTCGACGAAATCCTCGAAGTTCGCAATGTCTGCCCGTGAAATGGGTTAATAAATCGTCCGACGTGATACATTTAAGCCGCGGCGGCGGTGGCGGTGGCTGAAGGAATTGTTGCAACGCGAAGGATCCAGGAATCGAGAAGCGCGGATCTGGAGAGAGCCAAGGATCCAGAGGAAAGAATAGGCCACCGTGGGCGCCATCGTGGGATTTAAATTCGTCCGACAGGTTTATCAGCATGCATTGGCCGGCGCACACTTGGTCCGGCGCGAACGCTGTTCCTATCCTTCGTTCTCGTTTCCCGCGCAGGCGGCGGAGATGCGAGAGATAAAGCCGCGGCGAGAAGAATCGGCGGGGGCCCGGAGGAATCTCGCGGATATGGGAAGTGGATGAATTGTGGGCGCTGCGGGCGAAAGGGGAGAGGGGGGCGCGATCATAACTCACGACACGTCGAATCTGACAAATGGATCTATCGTCTTGCGTGGTGATACCACCATATCATTATGCAGTTATGACGCAAAGGCTGATATCGCGTCTGATTAAGTCGATTTGATTAAGGGGGATCCAATGCGGCTTATCTGGGATTTACCTTCTACGCGGATTCTTCAAATTGCATTCTCGAAAGAGGAATTATTATATCGGCGGAAAATCGAAGGCTGCGCGCTTCCTTTTACAACTCGACTAATCCGTCGACGAATATTATCCTGCCTTAGCGACTATTATCCCGTCCCGTGAATTTTCCTTTTAAGGCCGTTTCTCGCATTTTAAGCGAGGGAAATAGCCTTATCTGTGCGGTGCAGTTTAAAGATGATAACGAGAAGAATGCAAAAGGTCGGGGGAAACAGCATTTAACAATTAGGAACAATTTCTGCTTGTCCGTGGAACTTGTCCGCCAGCGGCGTCGTTGACTATCTGGGTCAAAGTTGGAACAACAGGAAAGGTGAAGAGCAACTTCACCAAAGTAAAGAACGAGCATTTCCTTTCGGCCATTAACGAATTCGTATCGTCCAAGAGAGAAAAAGAAGATTCCCGTTGCTGAGCGCACAGGATCTTGTAGCAAACAGTAGTGCGTTTTTCCCAAAGCGCATTAGCATGTATGTCTCCCGGTGC